CAGTTTGTATGTGGTGGTGTAAATCACACGTTCTAGTGGTAGGTGCTGTGATACAACCCTGCTGGAATTTCATAAGCACAGGATGTACAGTGTGGTTCAGCCGCATGTCTAGGAAAGAAAATAAACAGGCATTTGCCCACAGAACGTCTCTTAGATCTGAACTTTGGTGCATGTGCCAACAAAAGTTGTCACTTAAGCTGTTAGCCAGCCAGCTCGATGTCAGATAYCTCTGCTCTTTGAAATGGATGCTGATGTTCAACAGCTCAGAGAATTTGCAATGTAGTCTAAGCATGACAAGGAGAAAGAATAGGCTAGTTAGCAGTCTGCAGCAAGAGCATTGTTAAATTGTTTTTGCTTCTGTGTCATAGTCTCAAGGAATGGTAGAGCCRAAGAGAAATCTGAATCTGATTTGATGCAGGCTCAGGTATAAATATGACTTGGTGTGGAAGTCCCCAGAGGCTACAGTTGGGCTTGGGCCTTGCTCTGGTGTTGCCTTGAAAGGAAGTACAGTCCCTTTCCAAAGTGTTCTTTCAGTGTAAAGACAAGATGCAAGGAGTATAGGAAGCATTAGGAAGGAAGAGGGAGGAGGGAAGATGAGGTTAACAGTAATAACATCATGTGGTTATGTAGGTTTAACAGTGTGGACAGCTTGATGACTRACTTCTGTAACCTCTTATTTTTACRTGCTTTTCTAGAACACCCTTTAAGACACTTTGCATTGTATTAAATTTTGCTCCTTACCCTACCCCAGAGTAGTATCATCACYTATTTTCCATTGGTTGAAGATTTCTGTCTGTCTGCACGTAAGCTACCCTGTATCCCTTAGTTTTACTGGGCTCTTCAAAGAGCCCAGCTTGTAACTCCATGTTTCCAAAACACAGGAGAAGATACAGCTTCTTTTCAGTCTGACTGTGCTCTGTGACTGACAGCTGAAGGCATCTAAAGAAGTCAGTTGCATCCTACTAAAATTAAGAAGACGGGGAAGGTTGAACTASTTGATTAGACTGTCAATTATCACAAATAATTAACAAARTAAAAGGAAGATTTAAGGATTATGACTCCAGATGTTTTACTGATTTTATTAGTATATAAATACAAATTGAATTTGCAATGCTACAGTTCTGAATCAGTGTGAATACAGATGTCTTTTTGCAGAAAAATATTTTATCCAGAGGTGCTGTTGAAGTTACGTTGTTTTCCTGATGTGTATTAATTCACCATCTACACTGCCAGACATATGCTCATACCAAAGCCTGTAATTCAGTGATGGAGTGAGAGCTGATTTTTTTCAGCTAGTCTGCTCTCATTCATTAGGCTCGTTGAGAAAATGTATGCTGACAGGCTTCACCTCTACCTATAAGGTGTTTTTGAAAAAAAAAATAATGAAAACTCATTTGATTTGACAAAACACAAGAGAAACCCACGCTCTTGGTTATATACATTTTTCTTACTTACAGGGAATAGTGTAATAGAACAATGCTTAAGGGTATTTCAGACTAACAAGGTACAAAAAAAGAACTCATCAGCCTATTATGAAAGAAAACCACAAACTGCACATCACTTCTTGATAAAATTACCACCAAAAACCCATTTGCCATTATAAACCATCCTATTTTACTATGTAATAGGAAAGTCTTYGTCCCAGTGATAACCACACACTATGTCAAATAGGAGGAAATATGGGCAGAAATCCATAACCTATAATTCTACTTACAAATATGTGCACACAGGAATTCTGTCTATGGCTAGAGAGAGAAGTTAGGAAATTACTTCATGAGTGTAAAGCTGGATACCATAAAAATGCTKTTTGGAGAATTTAGTGACAGGTAAGCCTCCTTCTGATCCTATATAAAAAACGCTGAACTAATTTTGTGTTTAATAGGTGGCTGCAGGCTGTGAAGATAATACTTGGTTTGGAGCTGTTTATTTAAAACATTGAGGAAGTTATACACTCTTGAAAGAGAATATCGTCTAAAGGCATCACCAAAGAACACATAATCCTGAAAAATAATTATCTTGTAATTCTGCCTCRTTGATACGCATTTGGGTTACACAAGTTCTAGTTGTTCTGGACTTAGTCTAGCTTTCATACTACTATCATTTTGCTGTACCATAGACTGTTTTTCGTAATCCTCATTCTGAAAATAGATTATTTCTGGCTGGAATTACTGAAAATAAATTCCATACAAATTGCCCGAGAATATTTCATTGCTCACATCCAGGGTAGCTGACACCTTTTGATTTTTTTCCTCTTAGTGATTTACACATGACCTTCTAATGCTAAAGTTCATTAGTGCTTGGATATCATATTGATGAGCTTCGTATAAATGAATGGATAAACGGATAAGTCATAACTAAGGTAATGAGCTTAGAGTTGTTATGGAGGTAGCTGAAGTCATGTTGTGGGTCATAATGAATTAAAGAATTTCCCTATCATTTTATTTACTGTCAGTCTCGGTTCAGGATTCACTCTCTCTTCTTTAATCTTAACAAGCAGTGTTTCATTATTAATGTTTCAGACAGCCATATATTTTTCTAGAAATGCAGATATCCAGACATTCTTATTACTCATGGTTTCATTATCAGTTTGTTTTTTTCCTCATTACTGGCACTGACCTTGCCAAGAGCTAAGAACATGCATAATTTTACTAGTGCGATTAGACTCATTAAAGCTAATGGGATTAGTCAAGAAATAAAAGCTACTTCTGTTTAAGTGTTTGTTGTTTGAGGTAGTGCTGCTAGAATCAAGATGAGGAATGTTTGGAAGGAGTTTGGACTGCACTATAATTTTCATTAATGCCATACAAAGAGAAATTCAAACATTTTTCTCTTGACCCAGCCCTGATGCATTATGAAACCAACATGGTTTTACACTGGAAGTGAACAGGGATTTCCTAAAATTCTTTTTCTTTAAAAGATGGGCGCATGTCAAAAATTAGGCTGGTTTCAGCAAACTTTACTAGGTCTTTTCTCAAGTGTAGTTTGAAATTTCTAAATTAAAGATAATGAGACATGCATCTCAGCTACCAGCCCAGCAACAGAGGCTGAGTGTAACCTGATAGCAATGTTGTGATGCTGTRCCCTGGGAAACTTTGGGTCTTCCCAGGAATATTTCATTGATGTGGGGAGATTGAGACAGGCAAACGCAGACGAGATTTTCTGCACAGAAGTAGTGAGATTGCACTGAATTAAACAACATAAAGTTATCTGCTCTCACAGAGGAATGGTCTCACAGTTTGAGCATGGGCTTATAAATTGGGGGTCTTGTGTGTAAAATCCTCAAGAGGTGTTTCTGCCAGTATAAAGTGGAGAAAAAAGGCTAAAGGATTTCCTTGCCATTACTCCTACCCTGCCTTTGTTTCTAATTTCCAGTGCTGCAAGTCTGCTGTTCTTTGACCTGCCAGCTGAAAGCCTTGAAGAAGCATTATAGCAGCCAGAAATACAATGTTTAGAGTGCAGCTGGTTTTCAGCCCCTTTCTTTGACAGCCGTCTCAGCTAGGGCTGAGAGGGGAGGAGCATGGAGTAGTTATTCCATCCATTCCAAGGAACTTCCCTTCTGGACCATCAGGACAATTTTATGGAGATTGGTAACACAGGCCAGACACACAATGGGTGATTATTAACCCTAATATGCTACAATTTGTCATTTCTGACCTCTGATGAGCTGCCTCATAGACAGTGAGTTATAAAAAAATTCTGGTATCTTACTTACAGAATCAGATGCAAACTGCTCTGCTATCGTTCCAAATCAGTTAATCTCCCACGGCCTTGGAGAAAACATCACTTGTGGCCTTTTACCCACTTTATACCTTCTTTTCAAAACAAACATTATTTTCATCTCTGATAAATACAGGTAACATTTACTGAAGCTACAGAGGGGCTATTTGTAGTCTAAAAATTAAAATTCTTAGTTAATACTGAGTCCTGTATTGTGKTTTTTTTCYGTGCAGAGGTTAAAAACAAGCAAGTCCAGCACTGCAAAGTCTAATATCTGGGGTGGTAGACATTTGTGACAACTATTCACATTTCTCTAGGAGAGCAACTGATCTATGCCCCAATGCTCACAATTTTATTAACATTGGAAAGAGCCATGTGGTGTTCATATAGTGTTTGATCTCCATGAAGTCTCAGAGCCCAAGGTTTTCTGATTAGTGGCAGAGGAGGAGGACTGGAGTGACAGTTAGGGGTGCGCCGGTCCCTACTGTATATACAGCTGTTGCTGCGCAGGGGAGGGAAACACAGGGTCTGGCTGTCTGTTCCAAACAAAAAGAAATGGCACATGCTATTACTTCCAGATCATTGCAGTCCCTGCACCACCATCTGCTGGGGGTCAGAGCAGTTGTCCGGGTCGGCGTCAGTCATGCACAAACTCAATGCCTTCCACTGAGCTGCGCCAAGCAGTACATATTTACAAGAACAATAAAGCAAACCTGCTCCCTGGACACAGGCACCACAATGCTCCATCACATCGGGAACAAAGGGGCACAACGAAAGTTGATATGCATTACAAAGGAGGTTCTCGGGGATCACAGCTTTGTGATTTCAGGCTGTAACACAAATTGAAGGGAAGAAAAACTGTCACCAATAAGACCAGACCTAGTGATCATTGTATTTGGAATTGACGCAGCATTGCTGAAAGGGTGCCTGGGTCTCTGTGTTTCCCCTTTTCCTATTGTCAGCGTCTTCTGTAGAAAATAGTGAAATAGGAAAAGCTTTGATGAGGAATGTTGAAAACTTGGATATGTTATTCTGTAACAGAAGCAAGATAATCTCTGCCACTTACCCCGGCTTGTCCATGCAGATCTCTTTTTCTGGGGCTTATGCCACGTGCTGGAGTGAGGTGTGGAGAGCCCTGATTGACGTAAACGGAACAGTTCCTGGAAACCCCATGAGTACAACTGTGCCACTGTGATGTTGAAACCAAACGAGCAGTTCTAGCACCTCTTTGGCCTAACAACAGCTAGTGAGTAATTCATTTCTCCTGCTAAAAAAGGCTGCTTCACCACCACGGGAGTGACACATCAGGTGTCACTGTCGGGTGCTGCAAGCCTTTTGCTTAGTGCTGTCCTGCACCCTTGGCTGAACACACGCGCACAGGCGTGACACGCTTGGTGCCTAGAGCTCGAGGTGGGTTTCCTGGCACTTTATTAAGGCACGAGGTAAAAAGGTACAATCCTTCTCTCTGATCTTGTCAATCTTGCTGCAGAACTAAGTCCAGTGCTTTGGTGCTGCACCAGAATGGAAGCAGGGGAGTGATGGAGATTAGTGCATAGGCGTCTGCATTGCTTGGGAYGAACTCAGTGGCATTCGGCTGAATTTATTAGTTTGGTCTCAGCATCAGCACTGTTAAAACAGGCAGCAGTGCCAGCATGGGGTAAAAGAAATAGGCAGCAGCTCTTGAAAGCTATGAAAAGGGCAGGTGGAGCTGCACCCAGAACATTTTTTTAAGCGAGGCTCATTGCCAAATAGCTAGAAACTATGCTGTACCAGCRAAAGCACATGGAGGACTGCTGTAGTCACTGCCTCACACAGCTACAGTGTCTGTCACAGCACTACCACATACATAATCTTTGACATTTCATCTGATAATTAGTGGTTTTGGCACAAGCAAACACACTCTTGTTAGGTCCTATCCTCAGCTTCTTTTTACTAAACATCACTCGTCATTTTTGCATAAAACCTCTCCAGTCCATGTAATGTTTGACAGCCTTCTCGGATGATTTGCCTGAAACATGATATGGAAGAGAAGACCTCCAGGTGGCTGCAYACACATGTCTGCCAGGCTCCACCTTCCCGGCCTCACTGGCACCAGGRCACCCCAGCTGCCGGAGCCGCAGAGCTGGTTCTGGAGCCTGCGAGGGCATGCAGAGCAGCCTTTGCTTGTTTCCTTGGAAAACCTCACTAGCTCATTTACATATTTGTACTTGGAGGACACTTTTCATGAGCCATACCACACAGAGCTGTACTCCACAGTTTTGTACTGCAATTAGGCAGGCTTTCAACTGTGGGTCAGAACTAAAAGAATTTTTTTTTTTTTGCTATCTGGTCTTCTGTAACTGAGTTTGAAATAAAAGTTGCAGAAGAGTAGTCAGTCAATGGATAGCTTAGATGCATTTACATAATAAAATGTATGCAAAATGTAAATACTTTTGATTTTGGGGAGGAGAAGGCAGGGGATGGGAAGCTGGCAGAGTGACTGTGTGAGGATATTAGTAATAAAATGAAATGACAAAAAGTCTCCATCCTGTAAGTAATTGATATAAATCTGCTCCAAATATGTGGGGACAGAAAGCCATTCCCATTAGTAGTCCAACAGAAGTGATGTGTTGTCCTGTATGCTTAGTCTGCCATAGAGAGGTGCTACATTGTAGAAAACATCTTGTTTTGTGCCTGTTTGCACCTGTGCTGGAGGCTGCATGCTACCAGCCAGTGATAGATTAGTGTAGGGAATGGACTRAGATTCTCAGTATCCTTCTGGACACAGTTTAGACATAGATGAACTTGTTCTAKCAGAAGGTTTCCCTGCCAGTGGCAGGRGGGTTGTAACTAGATAATCTTTAAGGTCCTTTCTAGCTCAAACCAATTCTAGGATACTGTGATATTCTTCAAATAATGTCAGGGAAATTTAGAATTGGTTTCATGTATTCTGCAGATGAATAAGGGACTTCAGTATCCAGGAGGAACTTTACAGGTCTTGGTGGTGGAGTATTCCCTCCTCCTCAATCATATTGTGGCATACTTAAGTGCTACCATGGATAAACCATATTCTTAGCTTTTATGTTTTAAGTAAGTCTGTCATTGTGTGAAAAAAGGAGTTCAGTTTCTATTTCTTAATTGCATGCATACACCTTAGGRGTCTAATGTTCAAAGCCTGCAGCATCCGTGCCCCACTGGAAGCTTTTTTATTTGGGTACGTGGGAGGTGAGCTGTTGGAAAAATCTAGCCCAGAATAACAGTTTAACTTTTTATATTGCCTCTTTTATTTCATTAACATTACCCTTTATCTCTGAGGTTATAGATATGTTTTTATAAAGAGTAATTCTGCACATTGCCAGATCTCTGGGCTGCATAAATTCAGCCCAGATCAGGCAGAGCGTGTTGAGTCACACAGCTCACATAATTCATACACATGATGGCTGTTCATGCCAGCTTTATTCTGTATGCTGCTGTATGTATTCAATGACTACTATGGGAGAAAAAGTGACATTTGATCAAACTCGAATGGCACAGAGGGAAAGTCTGGGCCTTTTGAACAAATTTAATCTTTTACCTTAAGCTGTGCCAGTTGAGTACGTTGCAACAAGAGACAGTGACATTCTTGATCCAGGATTAACTGCTGCAACTTTGGATTTACTGCCTGGTGGAGCCTTGGTCTGATTTTTACCCCCAGACCACTTATATGCTGTTTCTTAACATATTGGCCTTGAACTCATTTTTAAATCTATCTATCTATCTATCTATCTATCTATCTATCTATCTATCTATCTATCTATCTATCTATCTATCATCTATCTATCTATCTATCTATCTATCTATCTATCTATCTATCTATCTATCTATCTATCTATCTATCTATCTATCCTATCTTCTTCCAACCTGTTCTCTGAATTTCATCTGCAATGTCTGCCAGTTTCGAATGCCTAATAGCCGGATAAATGACCATCAGGAGATAATAATGGATTCCTAAAATACAATTAGATGTTTTTATGAAAGCTATGTTTTAGTGATTTGCAGCTGAYGTAGGGCACATATATGGTTATTGAGAACTTCTGTTGCTTTTATSCTTCATCCTTTCTCCCTGCTTACTCTAACCATTTACAGCATTGTATTTTAGCTCCTTGATTTGCCTGATTGAAGAAGCYTTTGCATTGTTATTTCTTAAACATGGTACAGGAGGTTCCTCAAACTTATTGGAGATACTTAAAACTTCATAGAGGAGAAAAAGCTTTTAATATTTCAATACATTCCCATTGTTTGTGGTGTTACTTTTTGTTTTTATAAAAATGTTGTAAAAGGAATATTCAAAGGGTTGTCTTGCCTTAATGAACTTAGGAAACTTTTTGTTTTGTCCCTTATGTTGTTTACAAATGCAGCTGATACTACTCTATTTTTACTTGCATGTTTTAAACCATTGCACTGTGGTAGTGACTGAGAAGTACTTCACTGAGCAACAGAACTGTGCTCACTCTGCTTAAATACTGCTGCAAAAGTAGCACAAGATAAAAATGTCTTTAAGGTCCTGCAGAAACTCTAGTTAAGCTGCAGTAGTGGATTGGAAAGAGATGTGGCAGAGAGAGAAATCATGGAAGTTAAGGAAAAATTGGTAAAAAGGCAAAGGGAAAGACTGTTGCTTTGGTAAATAGAGAGAGGGATGGCTGAGCCAGCATCAAATTGCTCCCCATCTCTGTTCTGGCACTTGCAGATCTATTGAAAGCAGGCCAGAAGGACATGCTGAATTTGTTGCTCCTGTGTGCCAGCTTTTTCTGCAGCAGCAAGAGAAACCAATCAGTGCTGCTTCAAAAGCAGCTGGAAACTGAGAAATCCCTGGTCCCCCGCTGCCTGGCAAGCAGCAGTACAGGGTCTTCTCAGTTTCCAGCCACTACAGAGGCTCCATTGACAAAATGTGTGCGGCATTTGAAGGAGCACAATGTGACAATGAAAGAACCTGAGGGAGACAAAACAAGGAAGGGAGCAAAAGAAAGAAAGGGGGGAGAATTAAATGGGGATGAGGGAGCAACTGAAGACAGGAGGACAAAAATCAAAAGAAAAATATGCTAATCACTGCAAAAGGGGCAATAAAAAAAAGCTGTCCTTGCAGTATTTGACACCTCTGCTCTGCTTTATCAAAGAGTATAATTGTGATAGGAAGACTAGAGAAAAAGACGTAAAACTTCACCAATGTTTGCTTTCACTGCCTGAGATGCGACACGCTTCATTTAGTCCCCGACTTTCACAAATACTGTTGTGAAGTACAGAGTGACTGTAAGATGCCAGATCCCACACAGGGGGACAACATGGCACTGTGAGTGGGACAGCTCCTACCCTCATCCTCTGTTTGTGAGAGAAGCAGAAATAAAGAGCCCCATAAGCCAGGAGAATGGTGCCTTACAGTTGYTCACAACAACCTGTTGCCCAAAATAAAGTCAGGGAGCTGACTTGTTTTTGCCTTTCTCTTGTACTTCATTGCATCAGCTGTGAGAATGTGTMGCCAAGTATCACCAATGATAGCTCAGAGCAAGCAGCATGACTAGGTTTTATTTCTTTTATGTCTGAATGCCTGGTCATGAGGTAGGACATCCGAGRGGGGCACCAGGAGCTCAGGGGATGTGCCTGTGGTACCTTAATCTCCCAGTTCTTCCTGCTTACCCTGGTTGTTGAGGATAATGGAAGACCTGGGGGTGTCAGAACTGAAGTTGGTTGCAAAGTAACAAACTGGAAGGGGTTTCCCAAATATCCTCGCATGACTCATGGGGTTTTTAGTTCATGGGTCCAACTTGAGCTCTTTCAAATTAAAAACCCCTGAAACGTATACAGGGTGAACACAGCATCTTCAGCGCCTGCTGCTTCACTCCAGATAGCTGCTTTTACTTGGAATAAACTGGTAAGGCAGCATGCAAAAATTATGACTACTTGGGAGAAAGCACTGACATCTACCGATTTTCTGGGAATTGTTTGTAATTTCTGAAAGGTCAGAGAAGTGCACCATAAAWACTGAGAGAGAAGAATAGAACTGTTGCTGCTAGGTTCAAGAGGCAACATCAGACAGGAACTGAGAAGGGGGTGAACTGTGTGTTGCCCAAGTTGGAAATGGGTAAGCTCAATTTGTGTGCATTTTGCCTTTGAGCACTGCACTGTCATCATCTTAAGTGAGTTTATCTTTCTAAGCAAAGGAAGGCTTCTGTCCTGGGGACAGGGGTTTTGCAGTTAATAAAGCCTTCTTAAGAAAACCTCTTATTTATCATTCAGGTTTAAAATAAAATGCTTCCATTTGCTCTCTTAGCTTGACAGTTACTTTCAGTCTTGAGAAATTATTCCTGTAAAGTACTTACTACTTAGGTCTGTTTTTCCAAAGTAAACTTAATTTGAGTATGACCCATGGCATCTACACAAYCCCTGGTATTTAGATCAGTGATCAATTTATCTTTCTCTGTAGACAGTGTAAAACTGATTTTCTTTTGATATTTTATTGGTGAGTTCCTGTGTGTTATAATTTTGAAAGAACCTACAGTGCAGTTGTAAAGCAGTTGTAAAATGAGACCACCGTTATGTCTGTCTGATCAGGAATCACCCACTCTGTAGTAGTTCAAGAATGAGATGTTATTTTCTTTTTTGTTTCATTCGTTCAGTTCATATATAGTAGATCAAAATTAGTASCATATTTTCAAGTTTACCATTTCAGATTTTTTTCCATGTAAGTTAATCTAAAGCAAAGATATCTTGCCTCATCTGTAAAATCTTAGCTGTATATTTTGTGTCATAGGAGGAGGTRATAGCAAGGGCTGTAGAGGAACTACCAGAATGAGAAACAAAAACATAGAGATACCTCTCAAAATACTGGGCAAAAACCTATCTGATACTTTTCAGAATTTTTGCCCCTTATTTATGCTTGTTTCATGGACTGGCTCTGTCTACATTAATGAGTAATTCATCATAACAGAAACWGATCACCATATTGAAGTAGTTAGCGCTGAGAATGAGCATGTTTGTTGTAAACAGTTCAAGGATTTGAACTTCAGACTACCTTTAACTTGATCCCTTGGACTGTCTCTTCTCACCATGCAAAGTGCCCAATAGCTGCCCAAAGGCCCACRGGTTGGTTTGGACTCCTAACACCCTCGCTGGAGTGCATTTCATGAGCAGAGCTTCTGAGTTAGCTCCCTRCAAAGGGAATTCAGTGCTTCTGTGCATCAAAACTGCGCTGGGAGCTGAGCCAGAGTGCAGTAAATGGGAACAGACAGGGAGTGGGATTTGTTGCAAAACTACATTGGTGCTCTGAACCAAAATATAGCTATAGATATATATATGTGTATATAGGCAGCCATATATATTTTTGTGGCTTTGGGAAGGCACTGTGTATTTTTCTCTAGTGTGCAAACCAAGCATTTTGCGTGGCAACACTCAAATGKGCATTTGTATATTTCTTTGGCCAGCAACCTCTGGTAAATTCAGCAKGTTTGATGATGCAAAGACAAAGCAAGCTGCACTGGATCATTATGTAAGCAGAGAAATCCTTACATGTGTGCTTTACATGCAATTCAGAATAGTAGATTTTATTTTATCAAGTGATAAAAATGATTAATATTAATATTAATGAAATATTTCATATTTCCATTAAAATATGAAAAACTGGTTTCCTAGCTGCCACTGCTTCAATTCTCCAAAAAGGAGAAAGTGATGGGTTTTCTAAATCAGAARAACAACTAATTTTATGTGATCAAAGATGGCCCTGTGCTACATAAGATTGCATGAGAATGCATAAAGAGTTAAAGAAAAAAAAGTCCAGAACCATGTAGGTTTTGTTTAAATCAATGTGCTTGATAGCATATAGTGGTATTGATCATGAGATCAGGAGTCAGAACTTCTGCATGTTAATTCTGACTTCTTCAGTGATTTCAGCTTTTGTCTGGTCATTGCTACGCAGTTTCCCACCTGAGCAAAGGAATATTAATGTTTCAAATAGCAAAAGAAACTGTTCAATACTGAACAGTTCACCTTTCTGATTTCCAGTTCATTTATTTGAATGAATCATTATTTTGCTCCTAAAATGCTGCTGAATTTCATTTACTACTGCTGGCTAACTTTTTGCACTGAATGTTTTAAWTTTGATTAGTCACATTCATTTGTGTAATTTCAGTTCCTTGGCTGGATTGCTAGAGCTCAGACAAGGATCTTCGGCAGCTGCTGGTATGAGTACAACATCTTATTTCAGTTAATTCTTGCATATGTGTTTTTTGCATTTGTTCTCAACAAATGATCAGGCATATTTTGACTGAATGCATGTTTGCAGAAAGCCAATAGAAAGGAATGTAAAGTGAGTGGTAAAACGCATTTGTGAAAAAAGAGAATTCCTACATCAGTGTACTCCAGTGGCTTTGTGCTAATGCTCTCAAAATTCTTCCACTGGAGTCTGATCCATAAAGAGACTCAGTTACTTAAAATAGCAGTTATGTCCTAAAGTTCTTAGTATGTGCTGTTATCTCARCTTCTGTTTAAGCTTAATAGAGTACCCCCATGTTCACACCCAGATTGCACCCACAAYTGGCCTTTCAGGCTGCTTCTCTACCTGGGAATGGTGGCACCTGAAATGAGAGGCACTGCAGGAATTCAAGGAAACATGCTCTGGTGACACCAATATGCCTGAGCTGACTGAGAGCCTTATTCTGAGCTGGGAGCTCTTTTGGCAGCTGTGATTGTGCATTTGCACATGTCCAGAGCTGTGTGTGTCAGTTTGCAGGTCACTGCTGTAAAGACCTGACAGATAGACCAGCTCTGGTGCTGCAATGCTGGGGCTCTCCTAAGGGCTGTGTTTGGTATCTGTGCACAAGCAGGAAAGATTTCTCCTTGTAAAAGGCTGCCATCCACTTTTGTGCAATATCCAATTTGATCCATATTCTTGCCAATAGTATTTTGAGGATAGTGTCCCAAACTATACTTTTCCTATCCCCAGATGAGAGGCTAAGTTTGCAGAGAGTTGGAAGATGCTGCTTCCTGGGGAGCTGTCAGTCAGCTGTGATTGCAAACTCCTGGTATGTCACACCCTAATTAAAAACAGCATCTAGAATGTTTTTTCACTCATGCCTTTAAATATCRTTCTAGTTTAGGAAACTCAGACACAGCCATGCTCAGCCCCTTTCCGAGTCTGAGAGGACTCAAACCTATATTCTCCACCTCCTCTGCCTCTGGGCACATTATCTCCCTTTCTAGTCCTGGTCCTAGAGCAACACAAGTGTATTTGTCTCCTCATAAGGAGATACTTTTGTGAAGTTTTCCACCTCAGTTTTGCAAAACCGAAAATTTCCTGATGATCTACAGATAGCTTCAGATCTAGTTTTTAATCTGAATAGGAGGTAATCCACAGGCATGTTTAGGGATAAAACACCAGGAGCGTCATCTTCAAATTGTTTCTTATTCTCTTCTTTTAATGAAACCCAAAAAGTATTTATTATCTCCCCTTCCACCCCAGGTTTATGGCAAGAACTGCAGGAATTACCACAACTGCATCTCTCAAACAGATGTTTTTTTWAAAAAAATTTGGCAGAGTTTTAAAATTTCAATTTGGTCATCTTTTTAAAATTTGATCTCTAAAGAAAGCTTTCAGAATTCCCTAGTAATTATTAATGGGTCACCTGGTGTATCATGGAGATCAATATTTCTTACCCTCAGCCATTAACTATTACATCCCTGTTACAAGTGAGGATACAGAGACAGCTCAGGCTTTTACTTTAGCACAATCCATACAGATTAATTAAAAAAYAGGCCCAGTACAAATCATGCCAAAAGAAAAAAGTCCAAAGCATGAAAATAAGCCAAAAAAAGAATTACATCATTTCCTTGTATCTTCCCTAAGGACGACGAATTGGAGAGTATGAGTCAGTCTCAAGAAATGAAATAAAGAAAGTCCAGCTTTTAGGGACTTTTTCTTGCTCTTACCTTTTGGAGCAGAGCAGGCCATCAAGCACAAGCAGCAGAAATCTGACTGCTGATAGGTTTTAAAATAGGAGTGAAGGTGTATCTGTGGATAGTTTGGCTTTCTGGTTTGTGACAAGATATCTTGTGACAAGGTATCTTGGTGGCAAGATACCATGACCAAGGAAAGTGAACTTGAATATGGGGCAGCATGGCCTTGTGATATCCCATCTCCTGCTGCCTACAGTCAGCTACAAAGTAGATGTTCTCTACAGCTGTGAAATATTTTCGAAGTTCTCTGTAATGAGAAGAACACATGTTACATGTCCTTTCGGATCTCAAACCTCTTCTTTATACCTCTACTTTCCAGTCTGCAATACAGAGGTGAAGATGAAGCAATGGATGACTTTTGACTACTTTCTTCRTCGAGGGACGGCACATTTTGTCCATGACTTATCATCTGCCACATCATTTTATCATGTGCTCACCTTACTCTCTATCCAACATCAGAGTTTCAAGTATTCTGGCAAAATACATTTAATAATTAAACATATTTTCCTCTTTAATAATTCAATGAGAATTATCTGTAGTAATAATGGATTTTCTACTGTGTCTAAATGGTATTGTTCACTTTTGATTAAATAATCCTCAGGATAACAAAGGATGAGCTGTTGCACCAGGGGTTCATTTAACATCATCATTCACATTTACTTTAAAATCAAGGGTAGTATTCACAAGGCCAGTGTCTCTAAGGACACTTTGATACACATAATTCTGTGTCATTTACATTGGTGAAGAAAACAAAGAAGGCAACACAACATATTTTTTGGCCACATGACCTCATGTACTAGGATGAGAAAAATATGTGAAGTCCTTGTCAAACCCTCCAAAACCTTGGCCTTTTCAGTCATGATCTCTTTACCTCTGTCAACCTATGAGGGGCAAATGGGAATGGACCATGGGAWGAGTGTGAGAAGCCAGGACCACGCAATTTTCATGTCACGCTGTGCCTTGGGCAGAAGCTCCCAGTCATCTGACCCTGTCCTCAGCATCTGTTTCCCTGAATTGCAAATAGTTCCATTACCATCATGCTGTTTTGTGTCCTGCAAATGCAAATTTGCCCTATGACAGAACGAGTCCCATGTCTGATGGAGAAGATTTCGCCATCCTGCATTGTGTGTGTGCAGGTCCTACGTAAGCCTAAGAAAAACCTTCTGATGTGTACTACTGATTGTTTACATATGTTATCAGTGGGGAAAAAAAAACAGGAAAGGAAAGCTGGCAGCTTACACTGCCAAGAGATCTGGCAGTGGCTAGAATCACATTTAGATAATTTCCAGTCACTAGGCTTTGTTTTCATTTTTTAAAAAACCCTTCCTAGAAAGTTGCTGCCCTGTTCTTTTTACTCTGCTACAATCAGTATAGAGGAATACCTGCAATGGGCTCCTGTCCTTACAACCAAAGCAGGCAACATCAGGAGATGTTTCCAGAGAGAAAGTGGAAGGTGTGGTAAGATACTGTGCTTTATACAAGTTCAAAATATGCAACACTGCTTGGAGCTGTGATTATGGTTCTGTGTGACAAAAGTTTTTTAATGATAGTGAAGTCAGGGACTYGTGATTCAAATTCAAATTGGTGCCAAAGGAAGATAAAGTTTGGAACGTGGGCATATTTCACATCTTCAGGTCAGGCTCTTGATGGGTCAAAAAAACATGGGCACTGGAGGACTGGGGCTCCAGCTGCCTGTATTTAGGAATTRCCTGTAGCAGAGAGAATGGTTCCTCGGCCAGCTAAGCCAGAAGAGCTCATGGCTTCTCTGAAACAAAATACTAGAGAGAATAGATACCAAAGCAATTTAATTAGAGTCCAGCTAAGTTTGTGTGTTTAAATCTGACTTCTATCAACTATTCTGTACCCATTCACCTATACATGTGAATATGGATATATACTAGAAATTTTTGCTAGGGTGAAATAAAATTTGCAAACTTACATCAGCATCTCAAGTAGTATAATTCCAGCTAGTCCAGGCCCAAGCCTTGGGAGTCCTTTACTATTAATACAAAACTGTTCTCATAGGGTTAAGCATTTGGGGACTGAAGATGGCAGTTTTCAAAAAGGCTGACTCATTTTACAATAACAGCCTTAATATCATCTCTGCCTGAAGAGACACAACATAAGCAAAAATAAAATGTTAAYTTTAATATCAGCATAAATATTAGACATTCATACTAGCATCCCCCAGAGAGACAGAGAGAAAAAAAAAAAAAAAAAAAAAGAGTTCAAATGCAAACAGTCACACACCTAAGGAGCTCTAGTACGAATTCCGTGTGAGAAGATGCAGTGTTACTGGCATCAGCTTTTCTTCTGAAATCTTAGTCATCAAAAGCACAAAGATGTCAATGAATGCTACAGAGGAAGTAGGGCAATGATAAATTCACTTCACATCCAGCATCAGATTCCAGGTGTAAAACCAAAACAGAAGGATTATTTTCTGTACAGATGTAGAAAAGTAACCAAAGCTATCTGCTTTTGACATCTAAATGAGACACACTGAGGACTAAAGGTAGCACCCTAGWTTTACTGTGTCAGTCCTGGAGAAGGGAAGACAAAACAACACCTATCAGATGCTGAGGTAGCCTACAGCATAAACTCCTTCCCTGTGCCCTCCATGGTCACTTGGCAGTCATGTTGTAGGGTCATGGCAGAGGTTCTGGCTGTTAGGTCACATGCTCCAGTACAACATTGCAAGGCATCAGAAGTTGTCAACGATACAGGAAAAACAAATACTTGTAGGCTGAGATATCAAAGGAAAACCACAGCTGAAAAGGAAGCGAAAAATTATGCTCTGCAGTCAGAACTTGGTGTAAGCAATCATCTTCTGCTGTGTTTTCCTTGCAAGAGGGACAAAGATGTTTTCTCCTAAAGGCTGGCAATGGTAGGACACTGGTGTGCAGAAAWGTCATATTTCAGACCATCAGAAATGGAAAAGAAAACAACCTTGAAATAAATGGATTTTCATGTCCAAATCTTCATTGGAAAGACCTAATCCTTGTCTGAGCTACTWCAGATAGCAACAGTCATTGCTGCCAGACTCCCAAATATACCCCTATCTGTGAACTTTTTACAGGTTTGGGAGTAGGGTGGAAGGTTGGATGAGCTAATTCCGGTTGAGGTTACCCTGGTTCCCCAAGCAGACTGACTTGGAGTATTTTTCAGTTTAGCTCTTCTGAAAGAACTGCCTGACTTCTTTCCAGGAGAAGATTGAAAGCGGACCAACACTGCTAATCATTTTACAGAAAAGCCATCATCCACTTTGATTTCACACTCATGACTCCTGCAAACGTCAGATAGACTGTGGCTCAGAGCCAGTACATGGTAGTGACAGTAAGAACTTCTTTCCTCTAGTTTCTTTGATTCACCATTTTCCTTACAGATCTGAAAGGAGATGAATCAAAACTAATTGCTTGTATAAKAAATAATACTGACTTGCTTATTAATCTTTGTTGTGGCACTGGCACAGGCACTTGAATGGTCTGGAAAATATGAAAAGAATTGGCTGGGGAACAAAACCAGAGCTGATACGTGGTAATGGCAAAAACAGAAGTAGAAGCTATATAATAAAGGCAAATTCCTATTGAATGCCTCTTTGTCTTGCTTTAAAGAAATACAGAGCAGCACTCAAGATGTACAGATAACTAGGCAGTGTTTCTCACTGCAGAGCTCAAGGAAAGAAGGAAATGCTTCAAGGGTTAGTTCCTGAATAYATGGAATATTGCTGGACTGAAAGCAGTCAGCTGGAATTCATCCTGATAGTCCCACAAACCCTTTTATCACAAAAATGTACTGTAATCAGTAAGAAGTAGCCACTGTATTTTCCCACCACTTTCATGCTTTATMGGCACAGGGAGAAAGGGGAAGAGTGTGAGGTTCATGCTGCATGTGAATGATGAGCTTGCTTCATGTTTAAAAAATGGGTCTTGTGGAAAGAGAATAAAAGGGATTATGGTTGCATGTGAACTTCAGCTCTTCCACCTGCCTATTGATTAGTTGTTCTATTTTTTAGGGCAATGTTGCTTGCATAGTTGTTYATACATTGCATCAAAGGAATAAAGAGCAGTCAATAAACAGATGGATGCTACATTCTGTAATGTCTTTGCATCTGCTTCCAGTGCTACATTGGCAGCTGGGAAGAGACTCCAGAAGCATCAGTCCTTCACAGGCTGATCGCCAGCTTGGTGAAGACAGAATTTATCAAAATAGGAAATTAGAAGCAGTGGACTATTATACCTTCAGAGAAACTTACAATGGTGACTTTCAGAGAKAAGAGTATTGACTTGGCCTTCAAGCAAGATCCAGAAAAATGCTGTTTTAACATCTGCTTTTGTTTAGTGCCAATCTGGCTTTTAAATGGAATCACTCTATTTCAGTGTGATGTTTTGAAATGTTTTTTGATATACATTTTCATTGTCTTGGTGTAAGGGTACAATTGTATCATCTTTAAAAAAATAGATACTTTTTGTTTTGACTTACTTTGCAGTTTAGTTTCCRGAGTACAAGCACTCACAGTTTGTATTCAGTTCCCATGATGGACTACTCTTCTTGAGTCCTCTGAACAGTGACATGGAAAAAGAATTAATTATAGTCATAGCAAAATCAAAAGCAAAATGACCCATTGAGGTTTCTGGTTCAGGCAAATTCTTACACTGTTTTCCTCATTAGGTCACTTCCAGTTGACACATGACRTATAAATAGATGCTAATGTGTAATGACCCAGTTATTAGAAAGAAAATCTCAGTCTTGGCCATAGCAAGATAATTAAGATGAGTAGGAGGAGTTTTTGTCTTATTTTATAGCATTAAAAGTCATGTGATTGATGGCATCACAGGAAATTGCTTTTCTGGCATTTCAGAGACACGTTTACTAACTCTGTGAAATTATGATAGAGTCTGAAGCATTTATATTTTCCTCTTTCTTAATGCAACCCTGTTCCAAGCTGTACCTGGGGCCAGGGGTATTTGGGATCCTACTCCAGCGAGTAGGAAGAGGCCTTGAGAGCTCTGACTTTTAACTTTATTTTGACCCCATCTTTATTGCAGTCAACTTGCAACCCCAGCTCAAGCCAAAATTTGCCCGCCTGCCAGGCATCCTACTGCAAAGGGGCTGCATTGCTAGTTCAGGCTGACCTGGGCTGAGAGTCCCAGGGTTTCCAGGCTCCCCATCCATGGGGCTCTAAGGATTACACCACCATTTAAAGATGCACCTCAAGCCAGTTCTAGAAGGCTCCAAACTGACGTTTACCTGACCATCTAGCATCACCTTGGTTTCTGTGCTGGTTTATGTGCCTTCTGCAGTTAGCAGTGTATAGGTTTAGATATTCTGTGGTGCTATGGTTACCAAACAAGGAAGCCCCTGCAGCCACTGTGCTGGGTCAGATGAGTAGGAAAAAGAGCACAGCATCACTGCTACCACATCTCTCTGCAGGGCTTCTGAAAAGAATTAAAAATAGCTTCCTGCTTTAGCGGGAAACTTCCTCATATTTATATAGTCCTCTCTGCCTCCTAATRCAGGATGTTACATGAAATGTATTTAAATGAAATGTAGTGTGTCAAGTACTATATCTCCGTGAAGYTGAACAAATTCTCATCTCCAGTTCTTCATTCTTGTGGGTACTAAGAGTTTCATGAACAGAAAAGTAAATTGAGGAAGGATTGGGAAGACTGTTTTTTTTTTTGCTAGAAAGTCTTGTTCTCATATTAAAATGAATTTTGGAGCGGGGAAAAGGAAAAAGCCTCTTAGATAGTGTACCTTCATCACATTACATGTGTTTTCAGCTGTCTATTTTGCCTCCAGCCAAGTGTTCAGGAATAGGGCCTTTAACCTTGCAGGTATTTGAAACTTCAAGGCTTTAAATAAGACCTGGTAGAGTATTATTGCTTTTGAGTGTTATGTTAGAAAAGAACAGTGTGGTATGGCAGAATGGTATTTGGCACTTTGAGACAACAGGACTCAAAATTAGGACACTGTTATTTTTTAATATTTTAGTTTTCTTGGCAAGTGTGTCCATCCCTGTGTTGTCAGTAGGATAAAGGCAATTACAGAGTGTTTGGAGTAGGAGGACAGAAAGTTTAGTGTAAGTTCTATTGCTGCAAACCATTTTTCCAGGTAGCAACTGCATCTGAATGTGAAAAGGAACAGGCATGGGAATGGAAATCTGGCTCCACAGGCAAGTGTTATTTTACTGGTGCAGGTACAAGGAATCCAGAATCCCAGAAAACAGCAACTAGCAGGTGTCTGTGCTGTGGTTTTTATTTGGGGAGTGAAGGTATGTACTCAAACCAAGATATTTTTCTTGGTTTTACCACCATAAAAAGTTTGGTCATTGGGAACAGCTGTGTAAAGGTTCTTACCATTTTAAGTGATAAACAAGAAGAAGAATATCAAAAGTGTTTCACAAGTGTGTGTTTCCTGCTAAACTCTGTCCTTACTTCTCCTCCTTAGCAGCAATAGATGGTACAAATATTTCCAACTTACTGAGGTACAGTGGTTTTTTTCTGCTGAATATTTTTGTTGCCCCTCCCCAGCTCTTTTGGCTTTTGAGGTAAAAGTGGTCTGATTTTTCAGATCTGCAAGGATTTGGCTGCATGTTTTGTTTTCCTTTTCCTGTGTTATTGCAGACTTGTTCCCTTCTTGCTTACTTATTGATTGGCAGCCAGATAATGACACTCAAGAAGACTTTTTTGGCCATGTTTATTTAGGAACGTTTTTTTCCATGGTAGAAAAACCAAAGGCAGTGAAATTGAGTTTAAAAGTTTAGCATTCACAAGCATTGGTTTTGTGCAGAATAACTTTCAATTTTCTCYCTTCAACATACAAACAGCCAGAACTGTTTTAACAACAATGGTGTCACAACTAGTCCCAGATTTGTTCATTGATGTCCAGCCTGCTTTTAATTGTCTGAGTGTTATAAAAGTAAACTCAAAAGTTTTGAATTAGCAGTGCTTAAAAATCTGTGCAAATCTGGAACTCATAAGGCTTGTACTGAATGTTTGTTCTAGAAAGTTAAGGCCATGTCAAAATATATAAATTTGTGGCC